GTAAAACCTGATAAGAAAATATACAATCCTAAGTTATAAACAAAATGGAGAATAGAATTTTATTTTTTGTAATTTTGTTGCTCTCAATAATATCCCCACATTTAGCAGAAGACACTCTTTTAAGGTAAAACTATTTTTGACGCAAAGTATTTAAAATTTAGAGGTTTAAGTTGAGCATTAAGTGTAAATATTTCTTACAGAAAGTCTTATTAGTTACTCATTGCTAGAATGTTTTAAAGAATTATATTTCATAAATTAGACTTACATCAGCAGGTAGAAGAAATATGTTAAGCACTAAAGCACATCATTTTGCATGGTTTTATAACTTTTTATACAAATATATTCTAGCAATATTCTAAAAAAAATCTATCTAAAACTTATTTTAATATAATTTGTTGCCTCTTACGAGAATAATATCAAAATTTGCAATAATTTCTACAAAATAATATTTTATTCAAAATAACTGATTAATTAAGATATTCTAGGGTTAAACGGAGATCTGCGTTATCTAATATAATTTCCAACTATTTTCACAAGGAAAGCTCTTTTACCATATAATCTACACAAGTCAATTAAAAATGTTCCAAAGATGTATATTTTTTCTAAAAAGAAAATTTAAATAATTAAAGAGAGCTATTATTAGGATCCTTTTTATCTTTCAAAACATGGATCCCCTCCCCCAAGCCAAAGGAACAATAACAGACACATTCTAAAACCGGTTCCTTTAAGATTAGGTCCTCCGATAAGAATTCTTCCCCACATGCCCAAATCCTCAATGAAAAGCCCGGGAAATATCCCTGCTCCCTTATTGGTCGGCGGAACACAGATGATTCACGATCCAGCCAAGATGGCGGAGGAAATGAACCGAAAAAGAAATGAAGAAAATCCACAAAAATTTTCACAGCTTATAAAACAGGTTACTTTGAACATTTGATAAAAAAATCCCTTGAACATTAAGTAAATTATAAGCAGAAAACCGTTATTATTTGGAAAGATATTTGTCGGAGTCACAAAAAAAACTAGACAACGTTTAAAATATTGAAATTGGACAAATGGGCTTTACTCAGTGGTTCAAGACGCATCTTTCATGATACTCATGACAACATGGTTTGAACAAATTTAAGAATCAACCTTCCCTTATGATCGCTGTTTTTTTACTTTGTTATTTACAAGATGAGTTTTGATTTTTTCAATTATTTCTTTTACAAATGTTGCTAATGTATGATATTTTGCTGGTTCAAAAAGGATTTGAAATTTTCGATGGAATAGTTTCACACTTAATATTAATTCTAAATTACTGAATCGAAATATTAACATTTTTTTGTTTTAGACTAGTAATGAACGATTAGAAGATGATGGAAGCAGTTACAGTATAGATTTGAATTCAAATTTTAATAACAATAATAAGGAGACAAAAATCAAAACAAGCGAGAAACTTTTTGCATCTGAAGAGGAGGAAAAGCATGCCGGTTTTGTAGTTACAGGTTAGAAATAAAAAAAAAAAAATGGTTGTAGGTGCAATGCATACATTTTTTACATTCTTCTGGTTTAACATTTTATAGGAAATCCATGGGTATCCTGGGGAGGACAAAAGCGAAAAAATCGAACTTTTCTTTAAAATCAATATTTTTATTTAAAACTCGAATTTGCTTTCCAAAATTCGTTTTTTAAATTCCACGGGCAACGCCGTGAACTTTTGTTAGTAATATATTACACATACAAGAATATTTAATTAAGAACAAGAGTTTGCGAATTTGCTTTTTTTTACTTTCGTTTTTAGACGATATAATCTTCCAGTATCCCGGAGAGAAAACAAAAGGTAAATATTTTTAATGAAAAAAATATAATATTAATATTATAATATTAATATTTTATTCTGTTATTTTTAAGGACCTCCATTTACACCATTTGTAGAGAGAACTGAAGCCCCTGGTATTACATTCAAAGATGAAAATGAACTAAGGTGATAAAGAAAAATTATTTATAATACAAAAAATAAAAAGTAAATATTGAAAATTTAATTAAAATTAATTATCAAAGTTAAAAGTTTAGAATAAAAAATTTAAAATTGTTTTGTCTTAATTATAATCATGGGTTTGCTGTTCTAAACAATTATCGGAAAGACTAAACCAATTGAACCTTATTCAAACCAATTGGGCCTTATTTAAACTTTATAGCACATGTGCTATAATGTACAGCTAATTAAGCTTCATAGCACGATGATTACTTTATAGCACGTTCATATGAAATTCACAATGAAGTGAGTAATAATGATAAAGTACACAATAGTTTCATAAAATATTTAATCTATAATGTACTTTATCATTATTACTCACTTAATCATTATTACTCACTTTATCATTATTACTCATTTTGTCATTATTACTCACTTTGTCATTATTACTCACTTTATCATTATTACTCACTTTATCATTATTACTCACTTTGTCATTATTACTCACTTTATCATTATTACTCACTTTGTCATTATTACACACAAACAGAAATTATATTTCTAATTTTCAAAATGTTCTAAGAATCTTAATTTCAGAATATTTTTGAAAATTTATTAAAAGTTTTTTTTTGTGCTGCCTCATACCTTTGCACAATGATCATAATAGCTTTTGACTTGTTCTAACATTTTAAAATTGTTTTAACTACGAGCCCATCTTCAAGTTTAACCTTTAATTGGTGTTCTAACAATAACAAAAATAATTTTCACAAAATTTTTTCCTGGATTCAAAAAAAGTTTTTTAAATTCTGAATATCCATTAACCTTCCCTACCGTCATGTGAGGTCACACAAAAAAATTTGGGCCGGATCGGTTCAGCCGTTTTGACGTTTTTCCCACACTAAACGATTTTATCAGGAAACTAAAGTTTTGCTATTAAAGTCAATCCACTCAATTTAGAATCTAAAGCTAAGAACATTGCCGTGGCTCTCCCGAGTTCCCAAATCAAAATTTTAGGCAAATCGGTCGTGGGGTCCTGAGATATCATCGTACAAACAAATATACAAACAGAGATTATAATTTTAAAGGGAGTGTTTGCTAAAAATGAAATGCGATGCGATAAAAAAGCGCTTTTGATCGCTACTTATCTTTACATTTGTATATAGTTTATATTTTATAATTTTATTTCTCTTTTGCTTGCGCAACTATCTAAGAATGCCGTGCTCCACTCACATTTTTCAAAATCCGTTAAAAACGTTTTCTAAAAAACAAAATATAAGAAATTAATCAAAAAATATCATACAATATAAACTATATACAAATGTGGCGAAAGATAATCGATGACTATAGGTTTTAATATCTGAATGTTATGTTTTAAACTAAATTGATTTTTTACGGTCTAAGTCGTACGTTGCAATTTTCTCAATTTATATGGACGTTAAGTTATTCGGTATGAGACGTCTTTAACAATTTTCTCCTTATACACGCAACAGATAGAAGTAAGATTAGTTGCGATCAAAAGCGCTTTTTTATCGCATTAAGCCTATACCCCCTTTCATTCTTCGCGAGCACTCCCTTAAAATATATAAAGATAACTTTTAAGGAAACTGGTGGAAACATTTAGTTCTGCGTACTCCAATGGTTCCAACACTGGATTTCTTCAAGATTTTGAAAATGAAATTACAGTTCCATCAAACTTTTTATCCGACTATCCATCCAACTATCCACCCAAGGCCAATGGTGAATTGTTTGAGTTTGCAAACAATTTTGAGGATTTTTCCCGAGCAGAAAATGCAGATTTTTTCGAGGAGCAGCCCAGATTTTCCAGGGTGCCCTCTGCTTCGCCTCTAGGTTGGAGGCGGGAGGATGCGGATGAGAACGGATATTCTGGAAAACAAAAACAAGATTTTCCCACACCCCTGTATCCTACTAAACCTGTGAGACTAGTTAGACCAACTACACATTTTGTTCCTACGGCGCAGACAACCAGAGCTCCTATCAGATATTCGGAACCCTTGAGGTATTTGACAAAAGGACTGTAAGCGTAATCTAAAGTGACTCTAATGCAAAGTTAAAAATGCTGGATTCTCAACGTTACCATTGAAACTTTTATCTGTTCAAAGAAGTAAAAAATGTTGTTTTTCTAGGTTTAAAAGGTTTAAAAGGGGGTTTCCTGCGTTGGAAATTCGCGAATCCTCTTTTGTAGAGAAACCACAATTGAAAAAATTCTGTTTTTAAAATCATAAACATTGATATCCAATTCATATTTGATCAGGCAAATCTTTTTAAGACATTACCATCTTTGCATGGAGGGTAACTTGAAATTACGCTTACAGTCTCTTAGACATAGAGATTTTCAACTGAACACTTGCCTCAAGCTCTAATTGTTTTATGTTTGCACCTTTGAGAATTCAGGCCTTTGATATTTCAAAAGCTAAATATCAAAGGTTAAGACAATCAGGTTGCAAAAATAAACGAGCTAGTAAACCAGAGGTTGAAGCGAGAAATCACTTGCGCTTGAAATATTATAAAACTAACGTACAACGAAGAAAACGTTTTAGAACATATAAAATGTTGATAAGTCATACCTGAGAGCTTTATTCATCCAGTTTTGTCCAGTTTTGTTCGTACTCTTAAAGGTACACATTTTGTATTGCTGGATTTTAATTGTTACTGTCACCAGAATCAGGTTCCACAGTTTCTTGAACCGAAAAGAATAAAAGAACAGAAGTGCCGGCAATTATCAGAGAAAATTTCTCAAATTTTGATTTCTTTTGTATTCACAAAGAATATAAAACAGACATTATAAAACTTTACAAAAACGTGAAAGAAGCCTAAATAATAAAAAAACGTTTCATAAAATTTTTTTATGTAAACAATTCTTTATTATAAAGTATATAACTGTAAATCCTGATTCAAAGGTATAATTATAACTCTTGGCTAAACAAATGGTGGCTCCAACAATCCCTTCATGTAGTTTTAATTTTGTTCAGGTATAGAAATCCATTGGATAAGGATTTTAATTATGACGATATTGAAGTTTTTCCGACCAAAACAAACCAATGTCATCCGTACAACAACAACAACAACAACAAAACCACCACCACCACCAACAACAACAACAACAAAAACAGCAGCAAGACCACCACCAACAACAACAACAACAAAGATACAACCCGCCCGTGTACACCTCGACACCGATTCCTAAAAAATACGAGGAGAACGTGAAATCAATAGAAAATGTTGGATTCATGAACGAGTTTGCTCAAGATGGTTTCTTTGATACACAAAAACTTTCAGTCGGACAAAATGAGAGAATAAAGAAAGATTCAAACGAGAAAGAATATAAGGAAAATGCTTTTTAAACAAGAAATATATAGATTGAGTTTCTTAAAAGACTTATTTGTTATGGCCAATTATTGATTCGGTGCCTTGCATGTTCATCTTCCCTTGTGTTTTAACGTTTTCAACACAATATCAGGCATTAAAAGTAACGTTATAATACTTGCCGACTTATCTGCGTATGTTGCTAGAAAAAAAAACAATCAAAAAATTCTATATCTATATTTTTTTTGAGAAGAAAAACACATGAAACAGAGACTGAGCTGAGCGTGCTATTAATAGATTTAAAATACAAAAGTTTAAACCTCTGCATTGATTATGTTGTATAAAACAGTTCAAATATATTGCATGGAGTACATATTTTTTTTTCAAAAAAAGTTTTCTGACAGGCAGGGGCAGCCAATTTTAACAGAGAAAGAAATTACAACGATATATTTGAAGTGGAAAAATATGAGAAAGAATCCCAGAAAAATAGAATCAGAGATTTCCACAAAAATAATCCAAATGGTTACAGTGATTATCAGAATAATCAGAACGGTAACAATGGCTATCAGAATAATCAGAACGGTTACGGTGACTATCAGAATAATCAGAATTGGAATGGAGACTATCAGAATAATCAGAATTGGAATGGAGACTATCAGGCAAATGAAAGAAATAATAATGATGACTATCAAAAAGACTACCAAAGTTACAAGGCAAGGAGAACATATAAATATTTTAAAACAAATTTTTAAAAAATCGATATTTTCAGCAACATTTTTTATAAACTTAGAACAGTGACACTAAAGGTAAAAATCATGATTTTTTCAGAATAATTTTTTTATTAAATCACGAATGTAAAAAAAACCCTATGATAAAATATTTTAAAACATATGTTTTGCTTTCTTACAAGGATTACCAAAATGAAATTAACACTGAAAACTTTGATGATTATGACTACAATTCATATCAGGTATAGTTAGAATTGCAAAAAGAGCTGTCTAACTCTTCTAATTCTTCTAATTCTTCTCATTCTTCTCATTCTTCTAATTCTTCTAATTTTTCTAATTCTTCTAACTCTTCTAATTCTTCTAATTCTTCTAATTCATCTGATTCTTCTAATTCTTCTAATTCTTCTCATTCTTCTCATTCTTCTCATTCTTCTAATTCTTCTAATACTTCTAATTCTTCTCATTCTTCTAACTCTTCTAATTCTTCTAATTCTTCTAATTCTTCTCATTCTTCTCATTCTTCTAATTCTTCTAATACTTCTAATTCTTCTCATTCTTCTAACTCTTCTAATTCTTTTAATTCTTTTGATTCATCTAATTCTTCTAATTCTTCTAATTCTTCTAATTCTTCTCATTCTTCTAATTCTTCTAATTCTTCTAATTCTTCTCATTTTTCTCATTCTTCTAATTCTTCTAATTTTTCCAATTCTTCTAATTCTTCTAATTCTTCTAATTCATCTAATTCTTCTAATTCTTCTAATTCTTCTAATTCTTCTAGTTCTTCTAATTCTCCTAATTCTTCTAATTCTTCAAATTCTTCAAATTCTTCAAATTCTTCAAATTCTTCTAAATCTTCTAATTCTTTTAATTCTTCTCATTCTTCTCATTCTTGTAATTCTTCTAATTCTTCTCATTCTTCTCATTCTTCTCATTCTTCTCATTCTTCTAATTTTTCTGATTCTTCTAATTCTTGTAATTCTTCTAATTCTTCTAATTCTTTTAATTCTTCTAATTCTTCTATTTCTTCTAATTCTCCTAATTCTTCTAATGCTTCAAATTCTTCAAATTCTTCAAATTCTTCAAATTCTTCTAATTTTTCTAATTTTTCTAAATCTTCTAATTCTTCTAAATCTTAACTTTAGAACTGTCAATAAAGCCCAATAGTCCAAACACAGTTATTTTTAAGATTTTTTTTCAGGGCAAATTCGCTAAAATAAGTAAAAAAACTTTGTGGTGCAAATCATAGAAGCTTTGACGTATTAAATTATTGAAATTAAAATATCTAAATAATTCGTTTGATGTAGATATAAAAATGGTTTATAGAAAATTCTAATTTTTTTTCTTCAGATTCTGAGTTTAATCCAATTGCTTTTTTCTTTTTTTTACTTTTATGGCCGAACAAAATTTTTAGTTATTTGGTTCATTTAATTCTAACCAGATTTTTCAAGTTTTAATATATCTTCTTTTTAAAAAAGTTGCTTTCAAACAATTGTCCGTTTTTTCATATTTAAAAAAAATAAAATTATTGTTGTTGTACGACTTACTATTTCGATCTAACCTTCTAAAGCCTTCTTATTTAATTCTTACCACTCACATTTCTCCTGAAACGTCCATGGATTTAGAATGAATGGTTGTAACGTTCTATGAAAAGTCTTAATTGTTTAAATTATAAACGCTTCGTTGAATTTTCAACAGAAAAAAAAATCTAAAAAATTCAAATGTTGAGAGTTCTATTAATTAATTAATTAATTTATTAATTATTGCTTAATTTATTAATTAATTGCATAATTTATTAATTAATTGCTTAATTTATTAATTAATTGATTAATTTAATATTAAATTAATTAATTAATCAAATATGATATTAATTAACTGATCAAATATTATATTATTTAATAAGTTATCAACGACTATAATAACATAGATACACTCTATCAATAAAAATGAAATGATTGTTTCTCCACCCTAATCTTTTCTAGATGCATTAAAGAGCTTTCAAACTTTTGAACTGATATCTCATTAATAATTAAATTCTAATTCAAGTACAGTCTTATCCACAAAATATGAGAATTCTGAGACATAAAAAAAAGTTTTTTTCTCTTTCCTAGCCTACCTTTCTAAGATAAATATGTACAAGGCAGAAAACAAAACTCAATTCCAAATCGTCAAATTTTGTCGTCGTTAGGTTCCCCTTTGAGGGTAACCCTGTTAACAATTATAATTTACAAAAAATCAAAAAGCACTTCCAACTAAAAGAAAGAACGAAGACGATATCATTCAGCTGTTATCACTGTTTATCTAACATAATTTATAGTTAGAACCGGAGAATAAGTTTAGACCTGAATCAAGAGAGATTTTAACGCCGGAATCCAGATCTATTCATTCGCCAGCCAGTCAAGCGATATCAGTAGGCTCGGCTCCTGCATCTCTTCCCCCTCCCCCGGGCATGCTCAGCATGCAGCATGATTCCGTTTTTGAAGGTATTTTTGTTTAATTTGAGAACACAATATTTTCTACAATGTGTCTTAACAAACATGATAATTTAAAGATGACATTAACTATTAAATATTAATATTAAATATTGAATATTAAATATGCATACATTCACGATTATTTAACAGTTCGGTCCTTATCACAGCAAGCTGTGACTATTGATCCCAATTTGACCTATGAAATATAAGATTTTCGCCTTTCCCTGTTTTCTACTTTTTTTAATTGGGAGGATGGGTTTCAAAGAAAAAAAGAAGAGATCTCCGTCAGCTTAAAGATTGCTGAATTATAGACTAACATATGATTGATCAAATTTAAATTGAAAACCCGAATGTAACGAAAAAAAACAAAGACGACATTCATTTTATAGTTTCAAGGGTTTCTCGGTGTGTAAAATCAAATCAAATTTTTATCATAAGAATCTTCAAGTGCTCATATTTGTCCCTTCCTTGACAATGTCATTCATAAAACCTTCGGCAAAGCAAATATGATTAATTCTATATTTCAAACTAAACATTGTTTTTTTTGCAATTTCGATTCTATATAAAAGTGCCCTCCGGACTTTATCATGCAGCAAAGACAGTGAAGAAAATTCAGAGAATTTTTAATCTTCTATAGATAGACAAACGAGTAATAAGTGATGACTTATGAATACATCCTCCCTTTATTATTATTTGATTCAGCGACATAGAATATAAAATATTTTTTTGTCGTTTGACCTGTACTATTCTGATCCGTTTTGGATCACTTCAAATTGAGGGTCAACCTAACCATATTTTGTCCTAGAACCCTTTGATGTACCAAAGCTTGGTTCAAGTGTTGAATATAAACCTCCAGAGGTTATCTACAACCAGCTTTACTTAGAGAAACAGAAGAAACAGCAATCAAACTCAAACCTAGACCAATATACTAAACCCAACTCTAGTCCCTACTCTAATCCCAACTCTAGTCCCTACTCTAATCCCAACTCTAGTCCCTACTCTAATCCCATCTCTAGTCCCTACTCTAATCCCATCTCTAGTCCCTACTCAAATGCCAACTCTAGTCCCTACTCTAATCCCAACTCTAGTCCCTACTCTAATCCCAACTCTAGTCCTTTCTCTAATCCCAACTCCAATGCTGGAAGATCTAAGCAGAGTCGAATGGAAGATGAACTCCCAAAAAGAAGAATTTCTTTTGAAGATGTTACTGGATTGTCCAGGGGTGAACAGCTGAACCAGGGCCAGGTAAACGATACAGGGTGTACTACTAAACATGAGAGTTAAGAAACGACATCTTTAATCTGTATACATCTATAAAATGATAAAATTTGTATCAAATACTTAAGCTTATATCCTGTAAAATCCTAGACGTCTTGCAACCTTTTTTTGATAGAAATAATCACGAACAACCTTTTAGTGGCCTCTCATTATAATGTTATAATGATTAGCGAGAAACCTTGTTAAAAAACCAATTCATGAGTTCCAGCTGAATATAACGACGTTAAACTTTATTTATTAACTCTTTGGTAGAGAATCGTTATTCTGCAAAGTTTTTGCAATCTGCTTTCCAGAGAAAATCGTTAAATTATAAATTTAAAAACAAATGATTACTTGATAAGCATATAGTCGTTATACATGTTTAATTAACAGTTAAAAATCAAAAGAAACGGCTAGAAAAAAAAATAACAAAAAAACGATTTTTTTCCGGCGAGATCCTATCGATAATACGTTACGAGTCAACTATTTATCCATCATTACTTCTGTTCCAAATAAATCCGTAAGTCTTGATCAAACAGAAAAATCACAATTAGAAATAATCAATGTTCTAGATTGACAAAAAAAACCAATAATATCTTCATAATTTTTGGATCAGTCAAATGCTCCGCTTCAAATAGAGGATCACTTGAAATTACATAATTTCAGAACCATAGAGTTCCCTCTCATTAAATGTATTCAGTCAGAGATGGAATTTAAAGAATTTAAGCCGCGGTCTAAATCCGCCAAAACCCGGTTTAAATTAAGCGCCGGTTTAAATCTTGAAACATTTGATACAATTTCAAGTGGAACCAACCATATTTAAACCGCGGCTTAAATTTAAACCGCCGCTCAAATTCTTTAAATTCGGCCACAGGAAAAGTATTCTTATTAAAATTAATAAACTTCTAAAAGGTTTTCAAGATCTGTAAAATATATTTTTTTTTAGGATTTTCAAGCTCGCAAAGAATCTCGAGAACTAGAGGATAAACCAATACAAAACCAATACCAAAAGTAAGAAAAAAGGATAATTAGAATTTGCAATCAACGTTTCTTTCTTAAGCTTAAACAAAACTTTAAACTCATTTCATCGCTTTAAATCACTAAAATAAAAATGTTTAGAATTTTTATCTGACAATTTTATAGTTTTTATTAACTTCAATTTCTTAATTTAAATGTTATCATGAATTATAGCTTCATAAATATGTTATAAAATATGTTATTTTCTCATGTATAATTTGAGACAATGTAGATATTTGATTTGATTTGATTCTGAAATTGGTTTAATAATGTCAATGCCCAATGGGGAGGGGGTCAAGGTTAATTAAACTTGCCATATGTCTTCTCATGGTTTCTTTCAGAAATATCTTTTATTATCTGTATTTATCTAAAGTAGGTCTGGGTATAATAACTATAATTGCACAATAATTTTTTGGGCGCTCACTTAACCCTATTCCCTATTTGTATTACGTCTACAGTCTCTGTAAGGAGGCCATGTTCGATTTACTATGGTTCCCTTTAAATCCTTATCTAATCAATAATGTAAAAGAAATCGTCGTTTGGCTATCTCAAAAAGTTGTCGATTCCAACAATTTCCTACAATGTTTCTGAATCAGAAATCCGCAAGAAACCACCATAGAAAATAATGAATTTTTCCAAGAGAAAGTGATTGATATCTTCTACATGCTTTATCAGAAAAAGAAAGTTAATTACAGTTCCTTTAAAAAGAGAAAAATATCAACAAACGTAAATTCTGGCATGAAAAAGAGAATTTTGTTTATGAATAAACAATTTTAGTTTTAATTTAACACGCGCCCAGTCCTAACTGTATCTCAGGGAAATCTCATTTAAAAATTGCATCAAGCCAATAATTAGTTTGGCAAAATTGCAAATTGTGGGAAAATTTGTAAAACTAATGTTTGGAACATTTGATATAAATATCAAAGATCTTGTCATGCGTGTGTTAAAGAAATGATCGTAAAGTTAAAATATTGCTTTTTCTTCATAAACGTGATGTACGTACATTTGGTTATAAAATACATTCTTCTTAGTAATTGTATAGCATTTTGTTGTTTGTAAATTGAGTAAATTTTATTCTTAATATCTTACTTAATAAAATTTGGCAAGTCCGATTTACAACGGTACCCTTTAAACTTTTTTAAAGTCAAGAAGGAATAGGATATCCATGGTTTTCTATAGCTCAAGCGATTACTATTTGTTATGGTATCTCCAAAAAAAAATAGAATAGACAGAAATATTTTGATTTTAACCGTTCTAAAAAAAATCAAAAATGACTTACTAAGACAGGTTTTACGGAGTATCGTTGTGTGTAGGACATACCGCTCCATAAATAAATTGACATTTTAAACCTATAAGAGTGTTTATTTTTATTATTTTATTTTTGCAGGAGCAGTTTTGAGGTTGAAGATGCAAGATTTAAAAGATATATGGAAACAGATTATTCTCCTCAAACAGATTTTAACTTTAAACCAGCAAAATACTATCCAAAGGAACCATACCAGGAACCATATCAGGAACCATATCAGGAACCATATCAGGAACCATATCAGGAACCATATAAAGAAACATATCAAGAACCATATATAGAACTGTATCAGGAACCATATAAAGAACCATATCAGGAACCATATCAAGAACCATATATAGAACCGTATCAGGAACCATATAAAGAACCATATCAAGAACCATATATAGAACCATATCAAGAGAACTTTGTTGATCCGTATTCAAGTGAACCCACCTCTCCTTACAGTGATCCATTCTTGAACTTTGAAATCCCAAAACTAAACTATAAAAGTGCCATTCCACACAGCAAATCAGCTGACCCATATTCTCCAAACCACCTCCCTCCCCCCCATATCCCTGAGAGGCATGAGCCCCTGGAACTGCATGGTAGTAAAGCTGATCACCATGATGTAGAGCATAACTCGCATCAGTTTGTTCGTGTAGAGGCCCCATACAGCTGGGAGGCAGGTCATCTTCGAGGAGCACCTACTCATAGTGTACAACAGCATACTCATAGACAGGGGAAAACTTTTAAACAGCAGGTAATAGATTCTTTTGTGCACCCTAACATTTTATTGAAAATATCGGAAAACTAGGTTAAAGCATTTCGCTCGACGACCATTATGTTTGTTTTAGAGAACAGAATATAAAACAGATTTCACGGCGTAATGAAACATTGTTGAGATAATTGTCTTATTTTTAATAGATGCATGAAAACTTATCTTATATTCTAACAAAATGTTTGTAATTTTTGAATTCTTTTGTTAATTTGATATTTCTACCAGGGTTACCCACCAAGGATAAGACTTAAATGACGTACTTATCACAAGACTAAATTGTTAAAGAAATAGTAATCTATCCACATAATACAAGTTTTGACTTCTGACCTTTCTAAAATGTAGGTTGTTTACTTTCATCTAATCTCAAAATGTGAAGAAGTATATTTTCATATTCTATTAATTGCATTATTTGACTTAAAGAACAAGGCAGACTACCCACATGTTCATATTTAAAAGAATCCTATTTCTTTGATCAAAATTATAATTTTACACCATCAGATAGCAAAGATATAGGGATTAAAAAATTTGAGTTGTTTAAAACATTGGAATTTGTCTTCTCAAATTGATTTTTGATCGAATTAGTTAAGTTTAAAAATTGTTTAAAGAAATTTAAGTAACTGCGACCCCTTCCCCCTCCCTTCCCCTTCCCCCCCCTCCTCTCCCCCCTATAACCATGCTGCAAAACAGAAGGTGGAGATAAACAATAAAAATACCTGTTGCGTCACATTTGGTTTTAACACTATCTAAATCCACCTTTACGCTAAAACAATATTGACAATTCTTTATCTTTATGACGAAAGTGCCCCCACGTATTTTTGGAAAGTGCCCTCACATTTTGTGCCAAAATTGTGCCAATAAAACCAAAGGCCGATGCGTTTTGACAAGGCTTGCTTTCAAAACTTTTATGATTAACTTTAAGAGTTGTCTATAGCTCAGTGCCCCTCTTTCTTTCCATCCTATTCTAAGGATCACAGTACCTTCCTCCAAAATGGGAGGGAGGGCAAGGCTGGGGGTGAATAAAGTAGTACTGAGAATTACAGGAATCATTCTAGCGTATACAGCAGATAAATGGCCACTTTGTAATTAATATGACTAGAATAGTAATTTATTATTGTCTTTGCCTAATCCCATTAAAGAGAATAGATAAGTAAATAGTGGAATTGAATCGAAAAAAGTCTAAAACCACCATTGTGTTGTACTGTTTCCATACTGCATGTGTACTTCATACATTACGCTATTTAACCTTTTGGGCCCTGGAATATCTTTTTCTGGAACAAATTGTTCTTGAAATTTTTTTTAATTTACTCTAAATCCATTCTCTGACAGCCTGACATGCATTCTGGAGTTCATTTCAGAATAAGCTTTACTTTACATTTCTGAGTTCATTCTAGCTTTATAAAAAGAAGAAATTGTAACGAATATGATGTACTGCGTAAACTTTGTACACATTTACACAAATTGTACACTTTGAACAGGGAATTAAAGGCTAAACTAAGGGTGTTGACAGATAACAGCAACACACCAGATAAACTTTATTAAAAGGCCCGTCGGAATTCCGGTGAGGGAAATATATTCTGTCCGGATAATTCCTTTCCGTTCGGCCGGAAATACACACAACAGAGTAACCCCGTCTCAAGAAAATCGATAACAAAAGCTTTATTTCCTGAAAAATAACATAAATTATAGGTCATGGTTACTTGTACAATGTTATAATGAATATTAATAATAGAAAAAATCTTACGATTTATTTAGGTATGGTACAGGGGAAACTTATTGTTGATCAGTATTGAAATACGTTTTTAAACTTCTGAAAAAAAATAAAACAGCTGAATATTTGACGAAATTCACTAATGCTTCATATGAAAATATTCTTGCTTAACTTTAATGATTTCACAATAGCGAAAATGTTTTAAAACTCCGTGGGGCGGAGAACAAAGAAAATGCGGGCTGAAATTATTTGGTTTGGTTTGTCTCCGAGAGGAGATTTTAAGTTGAAGACGACATTCCCCGGAGGTCTTAAAGTTAATGGTTAACAAAGGGACTAAACTAATTAATAAAGGGAGTTCATGGTAGTCTTTGCCCCAAGTTTTATAATCCTTATATCTTTGCAACCAAATGACTTAGACCTTAGATGTTTCCAAGTATGAATTCTGTTAAATCTTTTTTACATATTTACTTTTTATTTTAAATTGTTAACGATATTCTTTGAAGAGTTACATGATAGCAGATGCAAATATTTTGACATTTCTATATTTGTGTTCTTCATTTTCTTCTTGTTCATACATCTTTCATGTTTCAGCTAAGTTTTGGGACATATTAGCAGTTTGCAATCTGAAAACTTCAGAAATAACGGAATAAAGCTAAAGCTATCATTGGAGAGCTCCTTTCCATTTTTCTTGTTCGTTTTTTATCTTTTTCTTCTTGCTTCTTGTAATTTCTCACTTTTGAGTATATCAGAGTAGCTCTTTCCTGAATGGGGCATTTTCTATGTTTTGAGACCTCTCCAAGTAATCCTTGTGACATTGAGTTGTGGAGCTGGAAGAAAGGAGTTTGTAAGTTTGGAGGGGGAAGGGTTTGAGGGATTTCAGTAGAAGATCCCTGCTTTCCGTCTTTTAAAGTCTTTTCCACTAAAGCTGAATTAAGGAAACCCACAACTGCACTGATTATCCAAAATGGGGATTTGAAATCCATAAATCTTCCACAGCAGTCTATTCCTCTCAGCTGGCCAAGTAAAAAAAAACGGTATCATTGTGCATTGTGCATGACTTGTATACCCATCAGGGTTTATACTTCTGTTTTCCTTCTTTCAACTGAGATGCTGCTGCAGAGAAAAGCTGAAGATGGAGTTCTGTAAGATCTAATATGATAAGTTTGACATATCTAAGGTTTACATGACCAAGTTCCAGAATTATAGAGATCAGACAATTTGAGTTTGTGGCAATGATTCATATCTTTTGGTCAACTATTCTTTCCACATAAAGGAGTCTAATGTGTGTACATAATTCGAGTTTGTGGAAAAAACTCAGTTTAGAAAGAATTTAAAAGATAAAAATAAATTTCAGTATTTACGCCAACCTCCCACTCCCCATCTATAATATATATATATGTCAAAACAGATGTGTAAATTTTGACATAGAAAAGATTTTAAAATATAGATAAGAAGTTTAACTTTTTGACTTATTTTTTTTTATTTTTTTTTATCTATTTTGGGGGAGAAATCAAGGTCTATGTCAACATATGCCTTCAATATATTCTGTCACATATGGCGGATCCAACTTTATACCAATCATTTTAAGTGTTTAAACATTTATAATCAAGTTTCTCTATAGAACTTGTACAATAGAGTCTGATTTAGTAAACCTTATGTTTTCTTATCATGTTCCTTTCTATTCAAAAAAGTTAAAACAACTTGTTGCCGCTGGAATTCTTACACAGTCATAATCAGAAAACTCTGAAATATGAATAGGACTTTATAACAATACGTAAGTTTATTTGATGTTGTTATAAAGCAAAAAATTTTACTAGACACTTATTAAATCACAAATCAAGTGAAATGGGTCTGTGTACACTGAATAATGTCTGTTTCTCGTGCTCATTGGACTATCTAATGCCTTACTTCAAGTTTAAAAGTCGTCTTCCTATTCCAGAGTTTTCTGGTTATCACTGTAGGAGTTTTCACAATTAAACACTTTAAACCATAAACATAGTAAAACAACAAGGTATTTCACATTATTGATCAGATAAAGGTTTCAAGTAAACCGTTCTAAGTCACAAAGGATGACAATACAACCCCCCCCCCCTACCCCGCTCTACGTCTTCCCTCGACCTTGAAGTTACTTGCACTGCCCAGTACCCAATTTCATGCTTTTTCATGAACACTTATTTATTTAATGATCCGAAGGTTATGGACACTGGACAGCCATTGAACACATTTATCATTTTCTTGGTTGTCCATTGTTAAAAATTTCGTCAACGACCTTTCAACGACAGTTAATCTTTAAATGATATGGTCATCAGGCCCCATTTTTGTTTATCCCGTTTTTGTAAGAAAACTCTGCAGTCTCCCAAAGAAAATTTTAAAAATATTTTCCGTTTGTTTTGGACAAAGTCTATGGTTTCCGGAATTAAGCAACGTGTATTATCACATATCCAATGTACAATAAATACTTTTCATATAGACGAAAATTACGTAAAAAAGGATTTTTCAAAAATACCAACAATAACGTATTCACAAAAAAAAATATCAAAATGAAGGGATTTTTGAAATATGAAACAATCATGCAAATTAAACAAATAGTTAAATCGTAAAGGAAACTCCTGATATTTTTTTTTTCAAAATTACAAATATTTTTTAAAATTATAAACTGAATGATAGAAATATCTCACAATTTATTTTTATAACCCAAAAGTTCTGTTCCTATTTCAAACAACATTTTTCTTAAATTCTAAATGTTCGATATTTAAAAAAATGACGTGACTGGCGTTTCCCGTTGAATTTAAAAATTTCACAAAGAAATGTAGTGCGCCTATGTTATTGTTAGTGTTACTTCCAGAGTGCAAACGCGGTTTTCTTCCAAAAATGTCAACCAATTATCTTTAGCTAGCATAAATATCAATACATATAATATATGTATATGTTGATATATATAAATGAGTGAAGAGCTTTACAATACAGGGTGTCCCATTAAACACAGGAATTAAGTGACGACTTCTAAATCGTCTATTTTTCCGCGTGTCATTATTAAGTGAACACAATTATTGTAATACTCAAGTTAAAACAGTAAATAATTAAAACTACTAGTCTTGGGAATTCAAAATTGTGGTCTACCATATTTCACATTAAAATTTAACGAAGATATTAAGAAATTTGTCCAGATTCTAGTTTTTTAAATTTCTCTTTCAATTGATTAAAATCTCCGTCAATTTTGAAGATAGAAAGACAGCAGACCACATTTTCAAAAGCTCATTTAGACGTTTAGTCTTTTTTTGTACACTCTTTGTTATTTATCAACTATCGGAAATTGTAGACGATTTTCAAGTCGTCTCTGAATTCCCATGTTTACTGGGACACCCTGTGGATAAACATGCATCATGTTGATAAATAATACACTGGTACTATCTGATCAAAGAGAATAGAATATATATTAGAGTGGAATTTACTAGAAAAAAGTGTAAAACGGCCATTTTGTTGTACTGTTTCTAATGTACTCTACTGCATATAATTTGTGAACATTTACATGATTTGTACACTTTAAACTCCCTTTCAAGCTGAAAGGGAATGAAAAAATTCATACCGAGAGATTCTCTAAACTCCCCTCTAATATATATTCTATTCTCTATGTTTCTGATTTACAGAGTGTCGTGAAAAACCTTGAAGAAAGTTAATATATTTGCCAATTACTCTGTCCAAGAACATGATAGGATGATGACTTGGCTTGTCACTGCCGTCAGATATAAAGATAGATTTTCAAGGACACACTTAACTGTAATAGTGAATCTTGATTCCGTGATTTTAAAGAGTCAGAAAAATTAAACTAAAGAGTTCAAGACAGGATTCATTAAGCTCACCTATAATTGATTTAGGAAAAATGAATGTAAAAATCTTCAAAATTAATCGAATTAATTTTCCATTGAGACTAATAATTAAGACTCGAGCTGTCCAGTGTTCACAGAGTTGGGTTTATCAAACATGAGCTGGGAACTTTTGAATGGTGGATGTCAGGATTAATGCTTAATCGATTCTTTTTTTTAATCTTGAGATTAAATTACGCTTGTTCTCCTATTGTTATTAATCTCCAGATTAATTAAGCAGTCAGGATTAAGGATATCTCATTCTAAAGTTTTCAGCTCGGTTTAATCTTGTTTTTGGTGGATTTTTATGGTCGAAATTGGCGGGTATTGGTATTTGATTAAAATAAGACTAAACATTACGACTTTAATAATTTATTTTAATTAAATTTTACAATACTTTTAAATTTCAATATGATATCAGATGGAAACATTTTGAGACTTCTATATTTCTTGTTTTTCATTCTTTCTTCTTGATCTTCCATTCCTTGTACATCCTTCAATCTATTTCACCTCTAAAACCAATAAAGGTTGGTTTTAGTTTGATCGTTTTAGCATGTTAATTTTCCAAACTGACCCGTGTATAAAGTTAACTGAAATTAATAGCATACAATGTAATAAAAAACTGTAGGCGTAATTTCAAGTGAACATTGACAATACCCCATTCACAATGGAATATACCCTTAAATACCTTTATCAAATCAATAATGTAGAAGATCATTTTATTTTCTGGTTTTCCTGTACTGTAAATGCGCAAGTCACTTTTGTATGGATATCACAATCAGATTTCATAAAATTGATCAGACAAAGCTTTTAAAAGCACCGTTGCAATCTTTGCATGAAGGGTCACTTGAAACTACATGTACAGTCCCTTTAAATGCCATTTATTCCTTAGACTTTATACATTATATCTATTTAATATACGTCTAAATGAAAGTTTCCATCTAATTTTCAAAATAAAGATTTCTTCAAAGAATCAGCAATGTTATTTATTAAGATAAATATTAAGGAGAAATTGTTCGAAGGAACTTGATCAAAGAGATGAAAGAGACTGTTGCCGTATTTTATCTCGTCATAATTTTGTGTTTGAGTAAAAATTATCCAATGTATCAATTTTTTTGCATTTGCACATCTCCTCTGACCATTAGGGAGGCAAAATTTTTAAAAAAAGTTCAATTTTTCTTCTCATATCTTATTTTAGGTAAGCTGGCAGGATTCAGATGAAGGATATGGAAAACATTACTTTGAGTATAATCATTAGGTGCAATGCAGTACAGTACAGAACAGTGCAGTACAGTGCAGAACAGTTCAGTAAATTGCAGCACATTGCACTGCAGTGAAGTGCAGTAAAGTGCTGTACAGTAAAGTACAATAAAGTGTGTACAGTGGAATGCCGTACAATACAGTATAGTACTGATCATTGCAGTTAACGTTAAGTACACTGAATTACAAGCCAGTAAAGTACAGTTCGAGATAAACAGTTCTAATAAAGACACTTAGTAAACTGGAGAACATGAGAAAAAAGAAATATTTGTATATGTTTGATTTAAGTCAACAAAAAGCATCATGATTTCGATTTAAGGCCTGGGAGGGGACTAGACCAGGGACCTGATTTTTTTAATAGAAGAATCAGTTGATCCACACAGATTTAACTTGTGAACTGGTTGAACCTGCGGTATAATGCGGTTCATCTATTTCTTACAAATTACAATTTATCAAATCTGGACCTGGAAGAATTTTGTTATCTTTGTAGAATTATAGAAAGAAATAGAAAATAGGGCTTATTGTTATAATTAAGCCTAAAATATGTAAACATATTTTTTGAAAGTTCACAATAGAATATTTTCTTTCTCCCCTTAGTTCAAAGTTCATAGTAGACAATCCACTAAAGTTCAAAGTTTATAGTACACAATCCACTAAAGTTCAAAGTTTATAGTACACAATCCACTAAAGCACATAGTACACAATCCAAGATTTACCGACATAGGGTCGAACGACCCAGGGTCAATGATATGGTTAAACGACATAGGATCAAACGACAAAGGGGTCAAAAACGCGACCAAGGTTAGAAAAATTGAGTGACCGGTAATGTATGGTGGTTGAACTGAAAAAGTAGTATTGTTGAAAAAAAAATTAGGATTCATTTGGGTCATTTAAAACGTTTCTACGACGTATATTTACTGAGTTTGAGCACAAAGAGGACGATCAAAATCATAAATTTGAGTGGTTGCGTTTTCAGAATAGTTTTTTTTAATGTCGATTCAAGTCGAGTCAACATTTTAAAATAACTGAAATTGGGGGTTACATCTAAATTGGTTGAATTTGTTATTTATGTTAGCTTAAAAATTAGATTAAAATTAGATTAAAAATGTCGTCCTTTTCGTCTAGGGGGGTCAGGAGGGACCGGAGGAGGTTGGCGTCGGGGTCTGCCTCGGCGTGGAGGTTCTACTGGAGCCTCATCATCTGCCGTGAAAGCTGGTTTGAGGCGTTGGACTGAAACCACTTCTACTCTCTTACCCACTTGGAGCTGGAAGGTTTTAGGGGAGCGGGATAAAACCTTGTAAGGACCCTCGTAGAGGGGGGCTAGAGGAGCAACATGTCCATCCTTACGTATAAAAACCATTGGGCGAGCTGAGAGTTCTGCAGGAGTAACTTCTGGAAGAGTGTCGGCTGCAGGAGTGTTATGACGAGGCGGAGTAGGTTGAAAACCAGACATCGAATTCTTAAGGTTTTCATAGAACAAATTGGTCGGAGGATCTTGTACTTCTAGGAATTGACCAGGCAAGGTTAATACAGAACCATAAACTGCTTCCGAGGCGGATGTGGCGGAGTCTTCTCTGGGAGATGTACGTAGACCTAATAAAACCCAAGGCAGATGCTTAAACCAATCGGAGGAGGCTAGACGAGCACGTAAGGAATTTTTTAACTGCCTGTGGAATCTTTCCACCATGCCATTGGACTGCGGGTGGAAAGCTGTGGTGGTCTTGTGCTTGATCTTGAGTAGGGAGCAGATGGCGGACCATAGGGATGAAGTGAACTGGGCTCCTCTGTAACTAGTAATCACTGCCGGTCGCCGAACCTTGAGATCCATCCATGGAACATGGCGGAGGCACACTCCGCCGCAGAAATCCCAGTTAGAGGTATAGCCTCCGGCCACCTTGTTGATCTGTCGATGCAGGTGAAGAGGTATGTGAAACCATTAGATGAGGGTAAGCGACCAACTAGGTCTACATGTACATGTGCAAATCTTCTGAAGGGTACAGGAATCTTCTCGGGGCGGATGTGAACATGGCGGAGGACTTTACCTCGTTGGCACTGCAGGCAGGACTTGCACCAGTCTCGGACGTCGTTGGCTAATCCCCTCCAGACAAACCTTGTAGAAATAAGACGTCTGGATGCTCGAACTCCAGGATGTGATATTCCATGTAAGGCGGAAAAAATGTTAAACCTTTGAGAAGATGGAACCAAGGGACGGAGAACTTTCGTCTTTGCGTCGCAGAGCAGCGAACCATCTTGTACTGGAACAGAAACGAGGCGGAGGGTTGGGGAAACCTTTAGGCGGAGTATGTCAGGGCAGGACAGCTGATCTCTAGCTAATTCTGAAAAATTAATCACTGAAGAAGTTGGAAAAGGTGATGGAGTTGTTGGAACTGACACCTCAGACACCTCATCACACCTCGACGAAAAATAAAGTAAAGATTATACAGTAAAGTAATAAGATGTTCTATAGTAGACCATCATGGCCTTAATTCATAGTCCATAATTAGAGATGGGTATCGTTTTAGTGAACGAACAAATTTTTTATGAATTTACAAAATTTTTCCTGAACAACGATGTCGTCAGAAAAAAAAACAAATTCGAAACAAAACTTGGATCGTTCTGAGAAATGAAAAAAGTCATTTTTGAAAAACGAACGAAAAAGAATTAATGATTTAGAACCGTTCGAACGACTTGATCGTTCATTAAAGATTTCTAAATCGTTCGTTCGAACAATCGAACTTGAAAAAAATGTCAGTTATTGGAAATTTTTTATTTCAGTAGATTGCAATAATACCAGTTCAATTAGTTTACAGCTTACACCTCTCCTCCCTTTGGTATCATATTTCATTGCAAGCTTTAGCTAGGGGTGTATTCAGTGGAATAAAAAGACAAGAGAGAGGGGAGGG